ACATGCCCAGTGTGCAGTGTGAGCTTTTTTACTACGGCGGCTGCCAGGGCAATGACAACCGCTTCCCCGACTTGACTTCCTGCAAGGAGTACTGCAGCCCGCGAAAATGTGAGTGCTTTCAGAGGAACTGGAGTGAGAATATTTCGATGTTTCCTGTCGCTAACGGCGTCTTATTGTTTTCGCAGCGGTTCCCGTGCTGTGCCTGGACCCTCTGGACAAAGGCAAATGTTCTGCCTCCATACCACGCTACTACTACAACAAGACCACCAAGACCTGCGAGGAGTTCACGTATTCAGGCTGCGGTGGGAGCAGCAACAATTTCGTCTCCAGGCACAGCTGCATGGACGTGTGTGTTAAAGGTGTGAGCGGGCGTTGGTAGAAATTCACCAAAATCCACGACCGTTATCAAGACGAGACTAATTTTTCCAAACGCTTTCCTTCAGGAGGTAAAAAGGGCAGCGGAGGAAAAATGCGCCGCCTGAGACGAAACCGCATCACTTTCTTGCAAGCGTAGACTGACGGACTCCCGCGCACGCCTGTATTTTCCATATTTTGACTTTGACGGCAACATGTTCTGTTGCACTTTTGAGACTGTAAGATTGTAATGTATGTTTTATGCGCCGGTAGACGAAGCACTATTTTGTGTAAATATCTATATTTTATAAAGTATTTTTTACTATTTGTCTTGTGGTGTGGTTTTATTTTCTGCAAAAAAAAAAAAAGACTTACAAAGACAAGCACATTTTTGTTGATATCATACCACCTACATAAAAGTACGAGTGATGACGTACTGATAACCATAGAATGGGACATCGAACAAGCGACAACATGAGCAATCTTAATTCTTTTTTGAAACACAAATGTACCCAAGCAGACAAAAAAAAAAAGTTCAGACAAAGGGCTTCTTGTGACTTTCACTCCTTCCCGCTAGCACCTTCTAAGGAACTTAGTCATCCCAGCATAATGAGGAAGGAACAAATCATGACCGTTGGCAGCACCGTAATGACCTTGCGGCACGTTTGCGGGGGTTGGCTCATACAAGGCCCAGTCAATAGACACCACAAGTTCGGATAATGTAGTGAGAGAGAACGTTATTGGGACACGCTACAAAGCATCTAGCAAAGACGGAATGCGAGTTGTACATGTGCTACGTAGCTGATATTTCATAATAGCGTCGTGCATTAGACAGTCCGCGCGCCATTATAATTTCTGAACGGCTGTCACGTTTCGTTATTGCCACAAATATTTATGGGAGCCAGGAAAGGAAACGACTTCCCTTCTTCTACTGGGTATAAACAGAAATATCCGATCCGAAGCATCCCGTGACATTAAGAAACAATGCAAAGCTATTTACATAGACGACATCACGAGACAGGGTGGCCCGGTGGTCCAGTGGTTAGCGCGCGCGTGGACCTCACAGTGCAGTGGTCGTGGGTTCGATACCGGCTCCGGCCTTCCTGTGTGGAGTTTGCATGTTCTCCCGCAGGCCTGCGTGGGTTTTCTCCGGGTACTCCGGTTTCCTCCCACATTCCAAAAACATGCATAGCGACTG